TAAAAAGGAAGGGATTCTGTTACTTGCAACAACGTGAATGAACATGGAGGGCATTGTGCTGTGAAAGACATCAGGCACAGAAAGACAAAAACTACATGTTCTTATTTAAATTTGGGATCAAAAACAACTGAATTCATAGAAACAGATTAGAACAGTGGTTAACAGAGGCTATCAGGGAACAGGGCATATTGGTCGAAAAGGCAGAAAGTTGCAGTTAGTCAGGCGGAATACACATGGGGTGTTTCATGGGGTGAGTCTATTCATTAGCTTTATTCAATCATTGCACAGTCTGTGCAATGACATAACATGACAATGAACCCATAATTACAGACAATTATAATTTGTCAAAGGATAAAATAACAACAAGTAGAGTTTCCGTTCTGAAGGATGAGAAATTCTGGAAAGACACAGTGGCGATGGCCACACGGCAGCAGAGATGTACACAATGCACTGAACTGTACACTTAAAAATCATTAAAAATGGCTCTTTTGTGGCCACTGCTAGCAGCAGTGACCAAAAATGAAGTTCAGTCCTTTTGTGACTTCTGACTGAAGCGAGAACTGCGAACAGCATTTCATGGAAAGGTGATGTCTTCCCCTCTTTCCAAAGAGCAGAGGCAGAAGTACCATGTTCGACAGATGCCCATCCAAAAGAAGGATGAAGTTCAGTTTGTGCAAGGACACTATAAAGGTCAGCAGACTGGTCACGCAGTCCGAGTTCACAGGAAGCGATGTGTCATCTACATCCGCGGGTGCAGTGGGGGAGGGCTCATGGCACGACTGGCCGCGTGGGCTTTCAGCCCAGCAAGGTGGTTATCACGGGGCGAAACTGGACAAAGACTGCGAAAAGAGCCTTGAATGGAAAGCCAAATCTCCCCGAGAAGAAAGAACAAGGGCAAATATAAAGAAGAGACAATTGAGATGATGCAGAAGTACAAGAATCTTATACACACAGCTTTTCCTAAAAGTTGGGGAAACACTAAAATAGGAAGTTTTATCATTTGAATGTTTTTACAGTAAAAATGTTTGATAAGGAGCCAAGTACAATTTCTTTTTTTTTTTTAAGAATTATTTTATTTATTATTTATTTTTTATGTGTTTATTCCAGAGAGAGAGGGAAAGTGAGAAGGCAAACTGCCAGATCGTGGTCGGCCACGTGGGCGTCCAGCACCTTAACTACCATGCCACCTGCCAGCCCAAGTAAAATTTCTGAAAGTGAAAGAGCAGGGGCCAGCAGAAGGCATAATGGTTATGTCGCTGGACTCCCACATGGCTGACCCCAGTTCAAGTACCGGATTAGGCAGCTTGAAACTCATGCCAGTCACATGTGTGTCCTTGCCCAAAAATCTCGAGAGGAGAACAGAGGAGAAGGGATTGCGGTGTGGTCATACCCCTGGGGAGGGCAATTTCTGAAAGTGAAAGAGCAGGGGCCAGCAGAAGGCATAATGGTTATGTCGCTGGACTCCCACATGGCTGACCCCAGTTCAAGTACCGGATTAGGCAGCTTGAAACTCATGCCAGTCACATGTGTGTCCTTGCCCAAAAATCTCGAGAGGAGAACAGAGGAGAAGGGATTGCGGTGTGGTCATACCCCTGGGGAGGGCGACTTCTCGCTTTCTTTCTCTCTGTCTCTCCAGTGAGTGTATGTGCCCTATAGCAAAAATCTCTCTTGGGACCAGCAGTTAGCGTAATGGCTATGTCGCTGGACTCCCACGTAGTCGATGGCGGTTCGAGTCCCGGACCCAGTGGCTTAAACTCACACCGGGCGCGTGTGCGTGCGTGCCCAAGATCCTGAGAGGAGAATGGAGGAGAAGGGATTGTGGCTTGTGTGATTTCTCACTTTCTATCTCTCTGTCTCTCAATGTCTGTCTGGCGAGCGCACGTGCCCTATAGCAAAATCCTCTCCAAAAAAAAAAGAAGAAAAAAAAATCTCTCTCTAAAAAAAGAAAAAAAAAACTATAGCAAATGAAATAAAAAATATTAGTGGGGCCAGCCTGTGGCCTGGCAGTTAAGGTGGCTGGATCCCATATGGGCAACTTTCCTGTTTGAGTCTTGGATTTCATGACCTGAGAAACATTCTGGGCATGTGTGCATATGTAAGGAGAAGGGATTGCACATGTCCATGCCCTAAGGGGGGGTGCTTTCTCACTTTCCCTCTCTCTTTCTCTCTCTGTCTCTGGCGAGCACACTCATTCTCTGGCAAAAAAGAAAAATAAAAAGATCAGTGAATGGGTTTATCATGTCAAAGGAATAGAAATAGGAAAAATACTCAAAGAATTAAGAAATAAGGGTAAGAAAGTCTAACATACGTTTAATTGACATCTTAATAGACCTGAGAAAGAGGTCAAGGAATATTTGAGAGAGAATTTCTGTGAGACTTTTTTCAGAAATGTTAAAAGATACCATTCTGCACCTTTAGAAAGCCCAATGAACCCATGTAGAATAAATCGGAAGAAATACATACCTCCATGCATCATGGCGAAGTGGCAGGAAACTATGGACATAGAAAATCTTAAACGTAGTCAGGCAATGAAAAGACAGATAATCTTCAACATCGTCTTCTGAAAACCGATTACAGCCAAGACATCAGCCAGGGCTGACTCGATGGTGCTGTAGGAATTCACCGCTCAAGGGAAGCTAGTTCTGTCATGGTCATCTTGGTTCGAATCCCAGCCTAGTCAACCTGAAGCATGCTGGGTACATGCCTGATGTTCAGGATGCAATGGCTGCAAGGCTGGAGGAGGAGATTGCAGCATGACCAGACCCTGTGAAAGGGGCTCCTCTCTCAGTCTCTCTCTCTCTCCCTCTCTCGCTCTCTCTCTCTTGCTTGCATGCAGACACTCTATCATTAATCAAGAAAAAAATGATGTCAGCCAGAGTGGATGCAGGGCCTCGCTTGAAGGTATAACAGAGAAAGGATCCCCTTCCACGTCCACTCCCATGGTAGTTGGTGGATTCCGTTTTTCTGGGCTATGTGACTGAGGACTCCAGGCCTCCCTTACTGGTGTCCACGCGTTCCTTAGCCCAAGCTCTCTATAGGGCACCTTGCAGTAGGGCAGCTTGCTTCAGGAAAGCTGGTCAGCCGGAGCGCCTGCTGGCAGGACGACAGAATCTGACGGAACATAATCACAGAAATGATTTTCCTTCTTGTTGCCATCTTCATTGTTCAGAAGCAAGCCACAGTTCCTATCCCTAATGAAGGAGGTGAGGTCGTTCGGAGCCATTTGAGACCTTGCCGCAGGATTCACTCGGTGTAACCGAGTTCTCTCTTTCTCTGGTAGTGTCAGGGAATGTAGACAACAGGCTGGAAAGGCAACAGCTATGTAGGATAAACAAACTTTAGAAAAGCCACAACTGGGACCAGCAGTTAGCGTAATGGCTATGTCGCTGGACTCCCACGCAGTGGACCGCAGTTTGAGTCCCAGACCTGGTGACTTAAACTCACGCTGAGCACGTGTGCGTGCGTGCCCAAGATCCCGAGAGGAGAATGGAGGAGAAGGGATTGCGGTGTGGCCATCCCCCCTGGGGGGTGATTTCTTGCTTTCTGTCTCTCTGTCTCTCTCTGTCTGGCAAGTGCACATGCCCTATAGCAAAAACCTCTCCAAAAAGCAAAACAAAACAAACAAAAAGAAAAGCCACCACTAAAAATTCAACAACAATGTAGCAAGGAAAACCAGCTACCTTTCACAGAAAGGATATGATGATTAGGAATTGAACCCTAGGAAGATTCCTGGCCTTGGGCAATCTCATGGTAGGATGATAAGGCAGTTGAATCCCATATGGCTGGCTGTGCAGTTCGAGTCTCAGACCCAGTGGCTTGAGAAACGCCAGGTGCATGTGCATGTGCCTGTGAGCCCAAAATCCAAAGAGGAGAGATATAGAGAAGGGATTGTGGCATGACTATTCCTCGTGAGGGGTACTTTCTTTCTCTCTCTCCCTCTCTCTCTGTCTTTGGTGAGAATACCCATCCTGGCAAATTAAAGTAAAAAGAAAGACTACTGACCTCAGAAAATGTAACCTGTGAGTGAGAGACCAATAAAGCAATATAGCTCATGTAAAGGTCTTAACTTCTCATGTAGAAAAAAGAAACCATACCTAATATTTGTGCATGATATGAACTGATTTTTTCCCATGATAGTCATTTTCTACAACTTCTGAGCTTACTTCCTTAATATTTGGTATATGTGTTCTAATTTTATTTTATTTTATTTTATTTTGAGAGATTTTCACTATAGGGCGCGTGCGCTCACCAGACAGAGAGAGACACAGAGACAGAAAGCGAGAAATCACCCCCCAGGGGGGATGGTCATGCCGCAATCCCTTCTCCTCCATTCTCCTCTCGGGATCTTGGGCACGCATGCACACGCGCCCGGCGTGAGTTTTAAGCCACCAGGTCCGGGACGCGAACGGCGGTTGACTCAATTGGATTCCAACAACATAGCCATTACACTAACTGCTGGTTCCCTAATTTAATTTTTTAAAAAACTACTTAGTATAACATTGCTGTAGGAAATGCATTTTGTTTATCAAAATATTTAACACCAGGGTCAGCCCTGTAACCTAGTAGTTAGGGGAGCCGCATCCCACATGGCTGACCACAATTCAAATCCTTGCCCTGGCAGTTTGAAAAACATGCTGGGCATGTGTGTGCATGCTCCAAATCCTGACAGTAGGGTGAAATGGAAAAGAAAGGATTGTGGTATGATCATACCCCATTGGGGTTGCTTTCTCTCCTCCTCTCTCTGTCAAGCACCATAAGCCCCTCTAATTAAAAAAAATTTAATAAAGTACATAACCTGAATTTCACTGGAAAGTAAGAAGAAATAGGCTACTGTGCTCCATTCTTCAAAACTAGCTATCCAATTGTTTTTAGGGTTCATGAGCAATTCCAAGCCTGGAAGTGCTACATAGCAGTCAAGTCTACTAATACATACAAAACGTACAACGATGTTAGTAGATTTCTTTTTTCTTTCTTTCTTTCTTTCTTTTGTGTGTGTATAGGACCCAAATGAAGATACAGAGTGGAATGACATTTTAAGAGATTTTGGCATTCTTCCTCCAAAAGAAGAGCCCAAAGATGAAATTGAAGAAATGGTTTTGCGTTTACAGAAAGAAGCGATGGGTATAGTTGTGCATCTGGTGGGCTGGATGAAAGGGGCAACTAAGGTTGTAACAATGAATCACAGGAATGTGAAGGGAGAGGACATTGGAAATGATTTCAAACAAACTCCATTCATACTTTCAAAATTAAAATACTGAGGGGACCAGCAGGTGACGTGGTGGTTAAGGTACTGGACATTGCCTCATGACCAATCAAGGTTTGAGTCCCAGACCTGGTGGCTTGCTTTCTTACTTTCCCTCTTTCTTGCTTTCTGTGCCTCTCTCTGACCAAATTAAAATAAGTGAATGAATAAATAAAATTAAATAATTCTTTAAAAAAAATACTGAAACCTAATTTACATGTTGAAAATCACATGTTAATTAGTCTCAGAGCTGAAACATTCTGGTATTTGTCCTAGTGAGTTTCTTCTACCACATCCCTCTACCTGTGATTAACTTCTATTTTGATTGTTTTTTATAGTATGTGTTATTTGTCAGGATTTTTGGATACTTGTGGAAAATCTGAATTTATGGGGTTTAATTGATTTTCTCATTTACTTTTAAATGTAGCCTGTTAGTTTTGTGAACTTTGAGGCAGTAGTAACATTTTAATATTATACTTTCTATAATATGTAAAGCTATTTTGAAGCTGATTGTTGTAGTTTATTTTAAGATATTCATCTTCATCTATCTAAGATACTGTTCTTTCTGGACATTGACTACAAAGTAAAAGTATGTTTTTAAACAATTTGGCTACCTAAAATGTATATTGTTTTAGTTAAACCATATGAAAAGATGACTCTTGGACAATTAAAGGAAGCTGAAGATGAATTTGATGAAGAGGATATGCGAGCTATTGAAATATATAGGTATAGTATAGTGATTCATTTGTGTTGCTTATGTGTGTGTGCATGTGTGTGTGTGTGGAGCGTGTTTTTGTTTTTCGATAGGGTCTCATTATGTCACAATCCTCCCACCTCAGCCTGCTGATTAACTGGGACTAAAGAGTATGCCACTACACTGGACTTTTCAGGGTGGGCTGGGAATCAAACCCAGGCTGCCCATGTGGCCTCAGTCTGCTGAGCAGCAACATCTGTCACATGCTACCATGGCTGGGCCTTTTGTGATTTTCTTCTTTTATTTCCTTCTTTTTCATTTTAGAGTGATTTTTGCTATAGAAATCACCCCCTTTCCCCGAAGGGATGGCCACACCACAATCTCTTCTCCTCCGTTCTCCTCTTGGGATTTCGAGCACACACTCATGCACCCAGCATGAGTTTCAAGCTACCAGGTTTGGGATTTGAACTGCGGTTGGCCATATGGGAGTCCAGTGATATAACCATTACACCAGCTACCGTTTTTTTTTTTTTTTTAAGTGTATTAATGAGAGACAGAGAAAGACAAGATCCCTCAACAGGGTTCCATGCTGCAGTACCCCAGCCTTCCCAGCCAGTCAGGACCATGGATGTTTGGTGTTTACCAGCTGACCAGTGAACTGAGCCCTCAGTCTCTGTGTGGATCTGGCTTGCTGGAGCAGCTTGTTACTGCTGCACCACCAAGCCAGTCCATATAGTATATTTCTGAATGAACATGTATTGTAAGAATGAAACTAAGAATTTTTATCTTATGGAATAGATTTCTAAAGGAATGAAACTAAGGGCTTGCCAGTTGGCATGGTGGTTAAGATGCTGGGTTTCTACAAGGCTTACTGCAGTTTGAGTCTTGGATATAGTGACTTGCTTTCTCACTTTCCTTCTCTCTCTCTCTTTCTCTCTGTGAGTCTTTCTCTCTGGTGAGCACATGTGCCCAATAACAAATTTTTAAAAAATAAATAAATAAAATTAAATAAATATCTCTTAAAACATTTTCGTCTTAAGGAATAGATTTTTTAAAGAATGAAACTAGGGGCCAGCCAGTTGGCATGGTAGTTAAGGTGGCTGGGTCCCATATGGCCCACAGTGCAGTTCGAATCCTGGACCCAGTGATTTGAAAAACATGGCAGGCATGCACATGTATGTGTATGTGTACATACCTAGAATCCTGAGGCAAGGGTGAAAGAGTAGGGGCTGAGGAGGGACTGTGGTCCTTCCCCGGGAGGGGTGCTTTCTCTCTTTCTCTCTCTCTCCTGTCTTTCTCCAGAGAATGTGTGTACCCTAAGAAAGTTAAAAAAAAAAAAACAACAACTAAATTTTAAGTAACATTTTAAAACTCCTTTTATATCAAATGGAATTGCATCATTTTTTTTTTCTTCTGAGTTTCTGTATTGCTGTTCTACATGATCAGAGAAGCTCCTCTAATAACAAACTATAGAAATGATCCCTGGAAGTATAGCTTTGTTTTCATAATTTTTTGCCTTTGTTTAAAAAAGGAAAGTGTCCTATAATATGCAGTGAAATTCCGTCAAGTTAAATATAATAAAGTGAAAAATACCAATAAAAGACCAGCAAAAAGATGGACATTATTTTCCTTTTGATGTGATGTCTATCTAGAGTGTCTATTATTTTAATGAATTGCCAATATTAAACAAATTATTTTAGAAATTAGTGCAAGTTCATACATTTTCCAACATATTGATATTTTACAAGGCTAGCATTATTCTGATACTAAAACTACACAAAGACATTGCAAAACAGCACTAATATTCTCTCATAAATATAGACACAAAAATCTTTAAGAAAATATTAGTAAATTGGGCCCAACAGGAGCCATGCTCATTCAGGCACTGGACTCCCTCATGGCTGACTGTGGTTCAAGTCCTGGACTTGGTGGCTTGAAACTCACACTGGGCACATGTGCATGCATGTCCAAAATCCTGAGAGAAGAATAGAAGGAAAGAGACTGCAGCATGGCTGTCCTCCCTGGGGAGTGATTTCTCACTCACCCTCTCAATGTCTCTCTCCCTCTCTCTCTCTTCCTAGCAAACACACCAGCCCTATGGCAAAAGCTTAAAAAAAAAAAAAGAAAAAGAAAGAAAGAAGAAAGGAAAGAAAGAAAGAAGAAAGAAAGAAAGAAAGAAGAAAGGAAGAAAGAAAGAAAAGAAAGTATTAGTGAATTAACTACAATCATTTAAGAAAAAAATAATAAGGCCTGATCAAATAGCATTGGTTCTAGGAATGGAAAGCTGTTTTAACATTTAAAAACCAGCGAACTGGGGTTCGAAGCAGTAATATTGCAATAGTGGTGAGCATATCTAGCACCCAGATCTTGGTTTATAAATGCTATTGTCCAATAAAAGGAACCAGTGCTCCTTGGAGTACTGCTTGATTTCACAGTGTGGGCTGAGAAAGTACAAGATGAGTCTGAAGTGTGTGTGGTGCCAGAAAGCCATAAAGTACTAAGCAAAGAGGGAGAGGGATCCAGGAACCAAACTGAAAGAACTTTCAGTGCTCAAATCTGGAACAACTCTACTGACAAAATAAATAATCATAATATTAAAAAACAAATAATAAAATACATATTCATAAGCCTCTGTGATATACCTAAGTAATTGAATTCATGAACAAAATGAGAAGTCACAGCTTTTTCTTACTGAAGAATTTTAATTAATAAACAGCAATTTTTAAATGTTTTGTCTTTTTTTAAAATAATTTTTAATTATTAATTTTAATTATTATTTACACATTTAATTGCTATACATCATTTAGATTGTAAAGAGACTTTACCTAGCATGATAATAAATATTAATTTGAATGAAGATGAGATGAAAAGAGGAAAACAAACAAACAAAAATTACCATTGGAACTCCATGATGATAATTCCGCATGGGCAAGACCTGATGGATGCTAAAATAAATGGTTGAAAGTTTAAGCCATGGGGCCAACAGATGGCATGGTGGTTAAGGTGCTAGACTTGCACATGGCTGACTATAGTTCAAGTCCCAGACTCAGCAACTTGAGAATCATGTTGGGTGCTATGTGTTCATGCCCAAAATCCTGAGAGGAGAAAGGAGAAGGAATTGTGGCATGGCCACCCCACCCAGAGGGTAATTTTTCACTCTCCCTCTCTCTCTGTTTCTCTCTGGAGAGTACATGTACAAAAAGTTTAAGCAGAAACAGAATAGTTGCATAAGCTCCAAGAGTCTTCCCTGAATATTTAGTAATTATAACGGAGGAAATATTAAGTTGTTGGGAAATCATGATGTATTTTTCTATGCTTTTCTAAACAAAAATGAGTCATGATTTTCCCGACAACCCAATAGTAAGTTTATAGTGGAGAGATTTGGCAGACATCATCATAGGCAAATGATCAAAATTACCATCACTAATAATACGTGTTAACATCAAGTAACCCCTGTCATGTCATGCTAAGGAGGGCAGAAACTGTTTAACGCGACTGTTTTTGAAGTCTGGAGTCTGTTGAATGTTTGCAGCATCCAGGGGAAAGCTTGGTCGGTAAATCGTTAATATCACGTGAGTTCAGCCCTCAGTTCAGAAACTGCTACCCATCTGTTGCCCCACTACGCGCAGCTGTGTGGGTGACAAACTGTTTTTGACACAGCCTAACGCAACCAGGATGGGTAATAAGAATCTTGTCCTCCAAATATTGGGGTTCTGTGTTCCGATTCAGAATAGATCACTGCTTCTGAACATAGAGGCACAAGAACAGAGGTGGGGTGCTATTGTGTCAGCCTCCACTGGTTCAGGCAACTTCCAGGATATATAAAAGGGCTGCATCCTTTATTTATTTTTTTGACATTCAAAAACAATTGTATATGGAGAAATATGGCAAGTCATTGCTTATGATACCTTAAAGTTTACACCTCAGGTCTGGCCTGCTTCCAGCAGAGATACCCTAAAGCAATTTAAAATCAAAACTCGAACAAGGAAGGAGAAGAATTTGATTTCTAAAGTTAACACATTATGTTACAAATGTCTAGTTTTCAGAAAAAGAAAAAAAAAGGAAATAAAGTCACAAGGCATACAAAGAAGCAGAAAAATACGGTCCATTTACAAGAGCAAACTTAATTGACAGAACATATGCCTATGAAAAAGCAGGTGTCAGACTTACTAGACAAAGACTTTATTACTATGATATACTTTGGACCATGGTTTGGCCTCCAAAGTTCCAGTTTTGGAGTGATAAAAACGTTTTTGAATTAAATAGTGGTGATGATTGCAGAAGTTTTCAATTCATGTCCTACAGTTCTCCTGAGAAGCTCTCTACTGGGAAATAACTATGGATCTGGGATTTTTTCATTATAGGCTACAACACATCGGAACCCTTTGCTTTCATCCATGTGGCTCAGAGAGACAGTGTAAAAGATCACATGGATGGAAACTTTATGTAAAATGTGAAATTAATCTGAAAATTAAAAATAAATAAAATGCAGAAATATTTAAAAAGATCGCATGGGACATAGAAATGGGCCTACCCTTTCACTCCTGTCTCATTGACCGTAAGCTAGTCTTTTGAGCCTAATCTGGGACGAAAGAAAAGCTGCAAATGTAGCCTTCCCGTGAGTCCCAGAGGATGATGCTATAATGACGACGTCTCCACCAGAATCTGCCACAGAAATTTAAAATAGCATACATAGAAGTTTCTTTACTTGAATATTCCCCATCAAAATAACAAATTTAGTCACCACCATATTATGGCATTATTTTAATTTCTCTACTTGAACCTGTAGACTTCCAAATTTTACTTTTTTCTAAGAGGAGAAAATTCTGTGATAATCTTGATAGTGCAGATTTAAAGCAAATTCCTCTTTTAAAGTAAAATGAAAACAGCAACTGAGTTTGTTTGTTTGTTTGTTTGTTTGTTTTTTTGCTATAGGGCATGTGCACTCACTGGAGACAGAGAAAAAGTGAAAAAATCACCCCCCTCCCCCCAGGGAGGATGGCCATACTACAATCTATTCTCCTCAGAATTTTGGGCACATATGTGCACATGCTTGATGTGAATTTCAAGTTGCTGAGTTCGGGACTTGAACCATGGTCAGCTATGTGGGAGTCCAGCACCTTAACCACTACACCCCCTGCTGGCCTCAGCAACAAAATATTTTTTTTTAATTATTAGGATGTTAGAGTAAAGGAGCGTTTCTTCTTCTTTATAAAGATTTTAACAAACATTAAAATTTACTATCAACGATGAGAAAAAGATGAGTTGGTCTCCATCATCTCTTACTATGGGTTCTATTTGGTGCCTTAGGACAAGATGAAAAAATGTAATTGTCAAAACAGAGGAAACAAAATACTACTGTGTAAATGACCAGCTATAAAATAACAAAGGGATCAACTCAAAAACTCTTATAGGTAAATGAAGAAAAATCTATATGTAGCCATAAATATATCTGCTGTATATTTTTATAGCAGATGGAATGAATTGGCTCCCTTGACAAATGTTCCAATTTCTCTTGGTATATGTTCCAGGACTGCAGAGGCTAAAAAACTGGACCTACATTTCTTAGAATGTATTGCAGCAAAGGTAATGAATGTGATCTAGGCTCTGCTGGACACACCCACAGGAAATTCAGACTTGGAACTCAATTAAGTCTGGTGTTCGTGAGCACTTAAATGGTGGGTGTTCCATGTCTCTGCAATCTCACGTGTGGTGTTACACAGGTTTGACTCAATTGGTGCCTTTATTTTGTAGTCATCAACTTCAGTGGGCCTACCTGACTGAGGAGCGTTGCTAAAATCCAAATCACCAGCATGGAATTCCATGAACCATCGCTGACACTGATGTTTCTGTAGGGCATTGTCACCATCAACTTTACGCAAATTTCACAAGCTTGACACGCGTTCTTCCCTTGATAGAAGTAAAACAGTAAATCAGGGCAAAAATGCAGTTTGGTCTTCCATCTTCAACTTGTAAAATCTCCAAAATTCAATCAAATCGCTTAATTTTTATTTTATGTTTTTTATAATGAAGCTAGAACTGTCAGCTGTCAAATGATATAGCAATAACAGATGCAAATGACTCTAGTACTTCTAAAGATATACTAGCATCACCCATTACAAAAGCACATCATGACTTTTGACAATCCAACAGAGAAAGCCTCGGCAGGGGATCAGCAGATGACATAATGGTTACATCACTGGATTCCCACATGGTTGACTGCGGTCTGAGTCCCAGACCCAGCAGCTTAAAACTCACACCGGGTGTGTGTGCATGCATGCCCCAAATCCGGAGAAAAGGATGGATTGTGGTGTGGCCATCCCCACTAGGGGGTGATTTCTTGCTTTCTGTCTCTCTGTCTCTCTGGCGAGCACATTTGCCCTATAGAAAAAACTCTCCTAAAAAAAGAAAGAAAGAAAGAAAGAGAGAAAGAGAGAAAGAGAGAAAGAGAGAAAGAGAGAAAGAGAGAAAGAAAAAAAAAGAAAGAAAGAAAGAAAGAAAGAAAGAAAGAAAGAAAGAAAGAAAGAAAGAAAGAAAGAAAGAAAGAAAACAAAAAACTGAGGAAGCCTTGGCAGACCAGTTTTTGTTTTGGGGTTCTTTCCTGGTACCCTATCCTAGAGCCTGCTCCTTCTGTCTTTCTATTGGGTTTGTAAAGTACTTAATTCCCCAGATTAAGTGCCTTTCTGCTTAAAATAGCTACAGGCCTTTTAGTTTATGCAACTGAATTCCAACCGATATGACTGGCAGAAAATGTAGGCCATTGAATGCTGTGTAACTTCCTGACAGAAAAACTAGCCCATGTGTTCGCCTTTCTCCCCTGCCCAATTCTACTGAGAGGACAACAAAAGATGAGAAAGAGGAGCCGGTGGGAGAGAGGAGGAAGAGAAGTAGTTGACAACTACACCATTAAGTAGGACATGGTGCCATCCATTGAGTAAAACATCTTAAAATTTCAAAAACATCAAGACAGATCAAGTTGAGGAATATTCGTGATAATGGTACTTAATACTCAGTGTAAACAAAGTAGAGCACCCCCATGAGGTCTTTGGAGTTAACTCTAGATTCTGAGCATCTGGGCCAGTTGGAGGAAAGCTGAAGGCCTTCAGTGTAAACCTGTGAGAAAGTCCTACCCCGGGTTACTACTCCTGGCATTCTCCTTTAGGCTTCATTTTGCTTGGATTACTTGTTAAGTAGTGAGAGAGCTCACCTGACATGCTTCCAATGTGTGACATAAGGCCAGAGCATTTCAAATGTACCCAGGGTTTTGTTTTTATTCAGTATGATCAAGAGATGATTGCCATTGGAAGGATATTTGTCACAATTTCTAAGAGGAGAGGGGCTTGACATGCTACATAAGGACCACACAGGGAAACACCCGAATTGGTCCGGAGTCAAAAGGAGCAGGAGGAAATCATGGGCAGAAGCCTTTATTAAGGTTTCCGCAGGAAACGCAAGGCAAGGTTCAGGATTGGCTAGTTTGAAGAATTTTGAAGTATTTTAGTGTGCTCTGGGCTGGATGGACTGTCCCAAGCTCTCTGTTACCTGGGCCTGGGATAACTGAGGCAGAAGGACAGTGGCTTAACCTGTCAAAGGAGGTGGTTGAGGATATGAACTCTGGGTTGGTTGTTCGCATGTGAGGAGCATGCTACCTACGGAGTGTTTGCCATCTCTTGAAATTAGCTATCCGTGGGAAGGGCGGTCTTTCTACGATGGTTAAGGCTGCAGATCCCAGAGAGAATGCAGAAAATAAGAAAATAAACTTAATATACACAGAAAGAAGGAATATGTACCCCCTAGCAAGCTTACAGGTGTAGAATCACTAAGTGTTAGCCAACTTGCAGATGTGTCAAAAACCATTCGGATTTGTATCATGAATCTAAGCATTCAACGCCTAAATGGTCAAAGTATATAAATTTTGAGAAGGTGGTTTAACCAAATTTTTAAAAATTTTGCTTACTATCTTTATATATATATATTTTCAATTCGTGATGGGGCATATGTGCTGCTTAACAGAGAGAGAGAGAAAGAGAGTGAGAAAGTAAGTCACCAGGTCCAGGGCTCGAACTGTAGTGAGTCTAAGGCTGCAGATCCCAGAGAGAATGCAGAAAATAAGAAAATAAACTTAATATACACAGAAAGAAGGAATATGTACCCCCTAGCAAGCTTACAGGTGTAGAATCACTAAGTGTTAGCCAACTTGCAGATGTGTCAAAAACCATTCGGATTTGTATCATGAATCTAAGCATTCAACGCCTAAATGGTCAAAGTATATAAATTTTGAGAAGGTGGTTTAACCAAATTTTTAAAAATTTTGCTTACTATCTTTATATATATATATTTTCAATTCGTGATGGGGCATATGTGCTGCTTAACAGAGAGAGAGAGAGAAAGAGAGTGAGAAAGTAAGTTACCAGGTCCAGGGCTCGAACTGTAGTGAGTCCAGCACCTTAACTACCAAGCCTCTTTGCTGGCCCCCGGTTGTTTAACAAAGTTTTAAGGTTTTCTATGGGTGAAGACAGGTAACACTGAATGCTCACTGTGCTCTAAGCACCATGTTAAGAAACTTACTATCTAATTTAATCCTACGTGAGTAGGTATTAGTATTATTCGCATGAGCAGTTGGGAAACTGAAGTTTTGAGAGATTAAAAAACTTGCCCAAGTTTATGCTGCTAATAAGTGCTAGCTTTTGCATTTAAACCTAGTTTAGTCTGACCTTAAAGTCCAAGCACTCTCCTCTACTACCTGTGATAAATTGATGTTTATAAGATATGATTATAAATACAAAGACTTTGGCCAAAGAGTCAGCTTAGCACAATAGTTGTGAACATATAAATAGAGGTAATAATAGTAGTGACATCAAAAAGTATTTCCAAGGATTAGATTAGTTACTATACTTCAAGTAGTACCAGCAACAAAGCCCTCAATAAATGTTAGCTGTTATTACAGATATTCTCCCTCATGAAGTATGTAACCTGTGTGTGAAAATTTGTTGGCCTGGGGCTAGCAGGTGGCATGGTGGTTGGGGCACTGGACTCCCACGTGGTCAACCATGGTTTGAGTCTTGGATCTGATGGCTTACTTTCTCACTTTCCCTCTCTCTGTCTGGTGAGTGCACTTGCCCTGTAGCATATTAAGATAATAATAACGATGATGATGATAAATAAAAGTAAATAATTTTTAAAAAAAAGAAAGAAAACATGTTGACCTAGTGTCTCTATAGCTATGATTCAAATCCTAGTCTTCAATAAAAATCAATTTAAAAATTCATAGCAAACTTCTTTTACTTTGCAATGCTCATGATAACTCAAATTCCCACATAATAAGAGAAATTGGCTTTATAAGGTTATTGATGGTAATCCTATCATTTAAAGCATTTGATGTGTGTGGATATTATAGTTATTGCCCTATGCTGCTGCCGTAGATGAGAATGACCCTCAGAATGTGACGGTTTGCCACGTGGCTCAGAGGCAGTGCCTGTAGTCCATCTACTCAGAGAGCAGAGGCAGGAGGGTTGTGGGGTCAAGGCCAGTCTGGGCATCATGGTGAGCCCCTGTCCCTAGAAGAAAAAAAAAAAGAATATGTCCATTTTCTTATGTAATCTATTTTCATTTTTTAATTAGAGAAAAGAGGTTACAGGAATGGCAAGCTCTCAAGAAAAAGCAAAAATTTGGGGAATTAAAAGAAATTTCTGGAAATCAGTATGTGAATGAAGTTACAAATGCAGAAAAAGATGTGTGGGTTATAATTCATCTATATAGATCAAGGTAATTATTATTTTATTTATTATTATTATTATTATTTCACTTGCTATAGGGCATGCGCACTCATGAGAGAGACAGAGAGAGAGAAAACAAGCCACCAGGTCCAGAACTTGAACCATAGTCAGCCATGTGGGAGACCAGCGCCTTCACCACATTGTCTGCTGGCCCAGCTCAAGGTAATTACCACAGCATTTCAAAGTGTTAATGTACTAGTGTTTTAAAAGGCGTGTTTCTGGTTTTAAGGTTCTATAAAGCATATGTTGACAGAAATAACCAAGCTCTGCAGAAATAACATCTCATGCAGTTTATTCTAAGCACAAGATGGAGTGACCTTAGGCCCAGAGAAAGACAGAAGCATTTCTTGGGGGCTGAGATACAGTGGTTACCATCACATAGTTCTGAGTGCAGGAGGGTTGTGCCCTCAGCAGAAAGTCATTTTTACATTGGTCCAGCCCAAAACGATGGGAATCTGGAAGCAGAGACCTGTAGGTTATAGATGAGTCTGAAATTCTTAGCTTAGTAATTAATAAAAGAAAAATACAAATCTCTGTTCCTAAAAGAAATCAGCAAAAGAATATCTGTGCTTTACTGTAAGAGAGGAGAAGGCATGGGCTGGAGAGGTGGCATGGTAGTTAAAGCGCTGGACTTCCATATGACCAACTGTGGTTCAAGTCCTGGACCTGGCGGCTTGCTTTCTCACTTTCCCTTTTTCTGGTCATCATGAAACACCGTGCCAGGGACAGGGTCTAGCATCCCACTGTCAATGCACCAAATTGGTTTGTCAGTGCTCCTAGGCCTCTGTCAGTGTTTGTAGGCATGACTCCCCAGATCCCATGGAAACCACTCAGGAATAAGAAAAAGAAGGCAGAATTCTGTCCTCACATATAACAAAGAGTATTCATGAAAAATAAACATATGTACATATTACACCCATATGTAACTATCTATTTTAAGAGTTATTGTCTTCAGTGATTAGATATTTTTAATAGTTTTACTTTTAATTTAAAGAACTTGTTACACATAGAAAAACAAGCAGCTTTTGGTAGTAAGTTTAAAACTTTTCATTATGGGACCAGCAGTTGGCGTAATGGCTATGTTGCTGAACTCTCATGTAGTCGACTGTGGTTTGAGTCCCAGACCTGTTGGCTTAAAACTCACGCCAGGTGCGTGTGCGTGCATGTCCAAGATCCTGAGAGGAGAATGGAGGAGAAGGGATTGTGGTGTGGCCATACCCCTGGGGGGTGAGTTCTTGCTTTCTGTCTCTTTGTCTCTCTCTGTCTGTCTGGCGAGCACACACACCCTATAGCAAAAACCTCTCTAAAAAAAAAAAAAAAAAAAAAAACAACTTTTCATTATGATGAAATTTAAATATATAGGAAAATTAGAAGAATGGTAACATGAGTACCCTAAATGTACCATATAGATTCAATAATGAATATTTTGTCACATTTATATCATGTGTGTGTGTGTGTGTGTGTGTGTGTGTGTGGGCACATGCATTCATGGAACCATTTCAAAGCAAATTATACACAGCATGACGATTAATTCATAAGTACTTCAATAGGCAGCTTCAAAACTTAAGAACATTGGACGGGAAAAAATGTATTTTTCCCTCTACCCAGCTAAGATCCCTTGGCTTAAGCCCTATAAATGAAACTGACAAAGACAGATTAATAAGAGAAAAACAAACATAAATCTATAATAGTAATAAGTGTATCACACATATACATGGAAGAATTCAGTGAAGAGTAACTCAGAGGGGTGGTTAAAACGTGGGCTTAGGGAACCAGCAGTTAGCATAATGGCTATGTCGCTGGACTCCCATGTAGTCGACCATGGTTTGCATCCCGGACCTGGTGGCTTAAACTCACACCGGGCTCATGTGCGTGCTTGCCCAAGATCCCGAGAGGAGAATGGAGGAGAAGGGATTGTGGCATGGCCATCTCCCCTGGGGGGTGATTTCTCGCTTTCTGTCTCTCTGTCTCTCTCTGTCTGTCTGGCGAGCGCACATGCCCTATAGCGAAAACCTCTCCCCCGCCCCCAAAAAAACACACAAAAAAAGTGGGTTTATATAGCATCTTAACAAAAATCACAATAAATTTCTAGGTAACTGACAAGATGAAAGAAAGAAATTTTGAGCTTCTAGGGATGCTTCCATAAATTTGCATACAAATCATATAATTATTATATATTATCTTGTACATGCACATGTGTATAATGTATTGCCTAGGATTAGGAAGATTTCTGAGAACTTGCAGATGTTGCAGATGCACACAAGGCATATATCTCTGCTGTTATAAAAATTTCATTGAGTAGAGGGCCACACGTATAAAAAGGTTTTTAGGCAGTGTGGTTGAGGTCTACACAGAGAAGACATCGAAGACAGGAATGGTAAGTTCTCCCTTACGAGAGGGAAAGTACAGAAAGTTGTGTAGAGTAAGTGATTCTTGGTCTGGGCCAAGAATAAGAAAAAAATAAGAAAGGATCCCCAGGTTTACAAGATTGGAGGAAGCAGACAGGATGAACAAAGTAGCTCAGATGAAGTGTGCAGCTTGAACAGAAATGGGAGTAAAAGGCATCACAGTTCTTTGGTGGGCGTTTGGCAATTTGATCTGGCTGAAGCAGGAGGTGCAAGACAGATAATAATGCTGAGAAGCAGACAGGGTCCAGACCATGGAGAGCCTTGAAGGCTACATTGAGGAGTCCAGACTTTGTCCTGAAGACAGTGAAGAGTCACTGAAGGATTTTAAGCTGAAGAGAAGAGAAGGGTAGGATTACAGGAATGAGATTTTCATGCTGAACTCTTTTTGTAAAAAAGTATAAAGGATGAATATGGCAAACCAGTACTGAAAACAGAGAGACCATTTAGAGCAATCTGATGTAGCCTGGAGAGAAAAGGAGAGGAGTATGGCAATGGCCAAGGGAGGAGAGGAGAGACATGAAATAAGGAGGTAGAATCGCTGTGACTTGCTTACAGTTAGACACTGTAGAAGAGAGATTTGTGGCCTGAGTGCCAACCTAAGAAAGTACAGGAGAAAGGTCAGATTTTTTTTTTTTAAAGGAGTTTTTTGCTATAGGGCACATGCGCTTGCCAGAGACATACATGCGCTTGCCAGAGACATACAAAGAGACAGAAAGTGAAAAACCACTCCTCCAGGGGGAGTGATCATGCTGCAATCCCTTCTCTATTTTCTTTGGGATTTTGGGCACTCATGCACACACAGCAGGTATGTTTCAAGTTGCCCGGCCCAGGACTCAAACCACAGTTAACCACGTGGGAGTCCAGCGTCTTAACCACTATGCCACCTGCTGCCCCCAGATTTTTTTTGGGGGGGGGCAGGAAGAAAGAAGGGAGATAAAATTCATCAGCTGTTGATATTAAAACAGTTAAAGATTACCAGTGAATATGTCTAGAATGAGAAATCTCTGGAAGTGTCTTGATTTCTTTTGGTTGTTTTTTGTTTGTTTGTTTGTTTGTTTGTTTGTTTGTTTTCCCTAGTCCTACAAACAGAACTGGCTTGAACTAAATGCTTAGTTGGATGTAGTTCACCTAAGTTAAGCATCAGATTCTGGTTTCATTCCCAGCCTTAGTGGTGTTTGCAATAAAAATCAGAGAATTCTACATACAGTTCATCATTGCTGAAGATAACATAAAGGATGAAAATATGCTGTTATGCAGAAAACTATCTATACATATATTTTTGTCATGAAGATATTTCATTTATTTTATTAGATTGAGATGAGTAGTTTGTTTCTTAATGACAATGAGTATGTTGTTTCTCTTTTTAGCATCCCAATGTGTTTGTTGGTTAACCAGCATCTTAGTCTCCTAGCAAGAAAGTTTCCGGAAACTAAATTTGTTAAAGCCATCGTGAATAGCTGCATTCAACACTACCATGACAATTGTTTACCGACAATTTTTGCTTATAAAAATGGTCAGATAGAAGGCAAATTTATTGGAATTATTGAATGTGGAGGGATAAATCTCAAACAAGAAGGTAATGATGTTATTTTAAAAACATGTTACTAAAAATAACAGGTGAGGGCCAGTAGGTACCATGGTGGTTAAGGCACTGGATCCCACATGGCTGACTCCACGGTGTGAGTCCAAATCCAGCAGCTTTTAAATCATGCGGGACACCGGTATGTGCATGCTCAAAATCCCAAGAGGAGAATGGGGGGGAAGGGATAGTTGGTAGGGCCATCCCCCCCCCAGTGGGGATATTTCCTCACTTTCCCTCTCTCTCTGTCTCTCTCTGGCAAGCACACGTGCCCTATGACAAAAAAAAAAAAATCTTAAAAATTAACAACAAAAACAAAACAGGTGAAAACTTCCATAAATTAAAAAGAATAATGAAAGTTTATTTCCTTAAGATGTAAATTTTTTCCATCATTCTAATCTTTCTTCATGCCTCCAGATTAATTTTCCTACAATAATACTTTTAACAGAACGCTCCTGTTTAAAAGCCTTATTGGTTACCTGCCTCAAGTTAAAAAAGTAGACTCTTCTAATTCTACTCTTCTTAAAATTCTTCCATCTAAACCCTGTTTCTTCCTGGATCTCCTCCATTTCCATTTACCCCATTATGTAAAACTGGACCAATTTATGCTCTGTCTTCCCGTCTCCACTGAATTTTGTTACCACATATTCTCTACACAACTTCGCTTTCACTTAGTCACATGCTATTCACTTTTGTTAATTCCCTTGGAGTCTTGTTTCCATAACAAGGGACCATGTTTCCTATTATTTTATTTTAATTTTTATAGCTCACAGTGCAGGACTTTATATTTTTCCCGTCTGTAATGATTTTTACTCCTAAGGTCATCTGTTGGATCTTTCCATTTCCTTGAACTGTTTTAACTCTATTATGAAACTAAAAATCTTTTTCTCTCACTACTGTGTGAAATGGCTGTTTTCACTGGCTATGCTTTCACTTCATGGAAGCCCTCCAAAACTTCATCTGATCTAGAATTTTCCCTTTTTCTTGCTTCTTGTCTCTAAGGACCTCCCTCAGTTTAGCACCTTGTTTTTCTTAAACTTCATCTTTTTAATTAAAAAAATTAGTACACCGAGTATAAATAATAATAGAGTAAGCATTCATTGTCTTAGTCTGCTCAGGCTGCTGTAACAAAAATAACAAGCTGGGTGGCTTGTAAGCAAGAGTCATTTCTCACAGTTCTGCAGGTTGGGAAGTCCAAAATTGAGCCACTGACAGAGTCACTGTCTTGTGAGGCCCAGTCCTTCCTGGATGGTAAATTCATCAACACGTCCTCATATGGAAAAAGGGGCACACAACTTCCTTTTAGGTTTCCTTTTTTTAAAACAAAGATACTAATTTCTATTCATGAGGACTCTGTCACGATCTAATCACCTCCCAAAGACTTCCATCACAGTGGGAGTTAGGATTACAACAGATGCATTTGGATGCAGTATACGAACATTCAAGACCTTAGCAATGATCAAAAATAATGAACGTGAACATGTTTCAACTATTTGTTTGCATGGTTTTGAAAAAATGTGTTACGGATATAGTTGAAGTTCCCTGTTTTTTTCATTCCTAGTCCTATTCCCCTCCCTGCTTCCACAGAAGCAAACACTATCATGAATTTGTACATATTTGGTCCTTTTGCTTTTGTTTTTCTGAGAGGCTTAAAAATTGTAGTAAAAAGAGGTAACATAGCATTTACTTCTGTAACCCTTTTAGGTATTTAAGTACTTAGTTCAGTGGCATTAAGGACGCTCACTGTTGCCTCACTGTCAACCATCTCCAGAACTCATCATCTTGTGTAACTGGAACTCAATATACCCGTGAAATGACTCTTCCTCATTCTTCCCTTCCTCCAGCTCCTGACAACCACCCTTCTGCTTTCTGTCTCTATGAATTTAACTACTCTAGATTCCTTATCTAAGTGGATCAATATAATTTTTTGTTTGTTTGTTTTTACGAGAGGTCACATGTATTCACCAGAGACAGACAGAGGAGGAGGGAGAGGGAGAAAGCACCCCCTCCCCTCAATGGGATGTGATCACAGTGCAATCCCTTCTCCTCCATTCCTCCATCCTTTCGAGCTTTGGGGCACACATGCATATATGTCCGGCATGTTTTTCAAGTTTCAGGTCGGGGATTTAAACCACATGGTTGGTGGTGTGGGATTCAGTTCGCTTAAACACTAGTCTACAGTGTTTGTCTTTGTGATTGATTTATTTCCCCAGGCATGATGTCCTCAGAAAACTTTATACCTAATAGACAACTCCCTATGTCCTTCTTGCCTCAGCTTCTGGCGCATGGGCCCTATAGCAAAAACCTCTCAAAAAAAAAAAAAGAAAAAAAGAAAATCATCGAGGGGTCGGTCATGTGGGATCCAGCACCGTAAGCACCATGCTACCTGCTGCCCCCCCCAATGGCTCTTAATTTTGCTGGTCATCTTTATCATTTTTGTGTTTCTATTTTTGCCTAAGTATTTTCTTCATTATATACTTCCTTCTGCTTTACTTGGGCTAACTTTATTGTCTTTTTTTTAGATAAAAAAAAGTGATATATTCATTTTTATTTATTATCATTTTAATTTGCTACAGGGCATGTATGCCCACCAGAGAGAGAGAGAAAGTTGGCCCCTTTCTTAGATTCTTGACTTGAACTTTTTTTGTTTTTCTTTTTTTGAGAGATTTTCGCTATAGGGCGCGTGCGCTCGCCAGACAGACAGAGAGAGACATAGAGACAGAAAGCGAGAAATCACTCCCCCCAGGGGGGATGGCCACGCCGCAATCCCTTCTCTTCCATTCTCCTCTCGGGATCTTGGGCACACACGCACATGCGTCCGGCGTGAGTTTTAAGCCACCAGGTCCGGGACATGAACCGCGGTCGACTACATGGGAGTCTAGCAACATAGCCATTACGTTAACTGCTGGTTCACTTGACCTGAACTTTTTAAAAAAGAATTATTTTATTATTATTTATTATTATTATTTAATTTGATCAGAGAGAAAGTGAGAAAGCAAGCTGCCAGATCTGGGACTTAAACTGTGGTCGATCATGTGGGAGCCCAGCCTCATGAACCGCGGTCGACTACATGGGAGTCTAGCAACATAGCCATTACGTTAACTGCTGGTTCACTTGACCTGAACTTTTTAAAAAAGAATTATTTTATTATTATTTATTATTATTATTTAATTTGATCAGAGAGAAAGTGAGAAAGCAAGCTGCCAGATCTGGGACTTGAACTGTGGTCGATCATGTGGGAGCCCAGCCCCTTAACCATCAACACCACCTGCCAGCCCCTTGACTTGAACTTTTAAACCACTTATTTTAAGTCATTTTTACATAAGCATTTTAACCATAATTTCTCTCTTTAAGTAAACTTTGTCACTTCCAATGTATATTTTGATATTGTAGCACTTCTCATTGTCGTTCAGTTTTAATTACACCATTTCCATATTAATTTCATGAGTCAGCTGCTGTTTTATATAAATGATAAATGTTTCTTTTCATTTTTTTTCCCAAGATTTTTATCTTAATAATGGGTTATATATTGCAGAACTTGAATGGAAGCTGGCAGAAGTTGGAGCAATACAGACTGATTTGGAAGAAAACCCAAAGAAAGGCATTATAGATACGATGGTGTCTTCAATTAGAAATACTTCTATTCATGATGACAGCAACAGTTCCAACAGTGATAATGATAACAAATAGAAATATTGAATAAATCACTTTTGACTGTGAAATGTATATTTTATTCACTATTGCCTTTACACTCAGAGATCAGAAAATGTATAGATTTATTTCATTTTCATATTTGATTTATAATTTACACATCATTTCAAAATTTTAAAGTTATTTCCTAATACTCATTGCTCCTGACAAAACTAGAAATATGTACTAAATCTCAATTTTTTCCTGTAGCTTATTCTTTCTCTGACCCATATTGGATAAAAATATAAATATTACAAGCTCTCTGTTGTTGCCTGCTCACTTCCAAAGAGTTGTATGAATGAAAATAACAAAAAGAGAACCATGACATTTCATTTAATTTTTTAAAATTATTTTTATTTAACTTTATTTTAATTTGACCAGAGAGGGATAGAGCGAGAGAGAGAGAGAGAGAGAGAGAGGGAGGGAAAGTGAGAAAGCAAGCCGTCAGGTCCAGGACTCGAACCGCAGTCAGCCATGTGGGAATCCAACACCTTTAACCACCATGCCACCTGTCAGCCCCAGACATTTCATTTAATTTAAACCAACAATTTTATTTTATTTTTATTATTTATTTATTTATTTATTTTTATTGCCAGAGGAAAAGTGTGCTTGCCAGAGAATGAGAGAGAACCATCCTCCCCCCAGCATTGGGGTATGGTCATGCCACAATCTTTTTTCCTCCATTTCTCTGTCCCATCAAATTTGAGGAACACATGGACAAGCAAGTAGTTTGTTTTTGTTTGTTTTTAAGGTTTTTGCCATAAGGCGCATGCTCTCGCCAGACAGACAGACAGAGTAAAGTGAGAAATCACACCTTGCGGGGTGGCCACACCATAATCCTTTCTTCTCCATTCTCTTCTCAGATTTCGAGAATTCACACACATGTGCCCAGTGTATTTTTAAAGCCCCCAGTTCTAGGATTTGAATTGTGGAATTGGCCATGTGGGATCCAGCACCTTAACTACCACACCACCTGCTTGCACTAAAAGTGTTTTTGTTTTGTTTTATTTTTATAGAGATTTTTGCTATAAGGTGCATGCACTTGCTGGAGAGACAGAGAGATGGAGAGACAGAAAGTGGGAAATCACCCCCTAGAGGAGATGGCCACACTGCAACCCCTTCTCCTTCATTCTCAGGATTTGGGGCACACACACACACACACACACATACACACGTGCCTGGCATGAGTTGTAAGTCATTAGGTTAGGGACTCAAACCAGGGTCAACTACGTGTGAATCCAGTGATGTAACCATTACGCCATCTGCTGGTCCCATTTTATTTTTTTAAATATCGCCAATGTTCAACCATTTTGGCTTACAAAAATGGTTAATTCATACATTTACACTTAGTATTAATATTTGTATCTATTCTTGCCAACTGAGCTCTATTTCCGCTCCCTTGCCTTACAGTATGTTATTTGTAAAGTGCATTCTAGAACCAGAAGCATTCCCAGGGAGCTTGTTTGAAATGCAGAATCTCTGGCTCCATTCCACACTAATTGAATTGGAATCTTCATTTTAATGAGATCCCCAGGTGATTGTACACACATTAAAATCTAAGATGTACCAAGCGGCAAGTTCCTTACAGATGGTTTGAAAGTGTTCTTTAACTCCTCATATTCTAGGGCTGTCCAATTTAAAACTCCAATCTCAGTTTCAAGTCAAACATTCTTGGCTGAACTTGTGACTCAAGGAACTCTGAAAGTGGAAAGTGGGTTTTACATTTTTTAAAACTGATTTGAAATTAATTAATTTTTTTAAAAAAGTATTTATTTATTTATTTATTTATTTATTTTTGTCAGAGGGCACGTTCACTTGCCAGAGAGAGACAGAGGGAGAAAGCATCCACCATAGAGAATGGTCATACCACAACTCCTTCTCCATTCTCTCTCATCCAGATTTTGGGCAAACATGCAAGTGGGTCCAATGTGCTTTTTCTTATTTTTAAAGGTTTGTTTTATTTATTTATTTATTTATTCATTCGTTCATTTATTTAAATTTGACCAAAGAGGGACATAGAGGGAAAGTGAAAAAGTAAGCCGCCGGGTCCGGGACTCACATGGCAGTTGACCATGTGGGAATCCAGTGCCCTTACCCACCATGCCATGCCCTTGCCCACCATGCCACCCGCCAGCCCTCCAGTGTTTTTCAAGCTGCCAGGTCTATACTCAAACCACACAGTTGACCATGTGGGATCCGGCTCCTTAGTCACCAGGCCATGGACTGGCCCAAAGTGGGGCTTGTTTCTAACCAGTTCCCTCTCTTTTTACAACTTATCTTCTGGTATGTGGGACTCATCCTCTGGTGTTTGAGAGGGAGACTAAAAAGGAAAGGGATAAGTTTCTCTTAAATGTACAATCCATGTTGCCCCAAATGTCCCCCCCCCCACCTTTTTTAAAGCTTTATTTACTTGTGAGGGATGTCCATCAGGGTCTTCAGATTGTGATCCAACCCATCTCATCTAGTCTGGATCATGGCACACGCACCTGAGGTGCTCAGGGAGGTCCTGGGATAGGAACCCAGGACCTTTCCCATATGGGTCCAGCTGTGTTACTGCTATGTCACCACCTGGCCACCAAACAGTCACTCTTTAATGGGACACATTAAGTTCTCTTAGAAACCCTGAGGCAGCCTCCCCACTGCACAGTCCCTCACTGAACCTGGAGTATGGAGCAGTCCTAGCTCCCTCCCTCTCCCAGAAGTACATCCATCCAGCAGCTTATGGCTAGAATTTCTTTACTCCTTGGGTGTGATGGTTCAAATTGGGACGGCATCAATCAACCCGTGATGGCATCAATCAAACTTCCACATCCTTCCCGTGCCAAATGGCAAATGTGTAGACTGCCTTATGCAGCCAATTCCCAATGCTTTATTTCTCTCCAGGGCTCTGTCCTGTTTAGGTGCAGGGCAGTATCAATCCTGCCAGTGGATGAAGCACCAGGCTCCCCTTCTTGCAGTCTTCCTTAGTTTCTCTAGCTGGTCCTGCTGGACTCTTGCTCACTTAACGTGGCATAGGAGGGGGTATAAAATGGAAAGGAGGGACCAGCAGATGGCGGAATGGTTATGTTGTTGGACTCCCACGTAGTCGAACGTGGTTTGAGTCCTGGACCTAGTGACTTGAAACACACGAGGTGGGTGTGTGTGCCCCAAATCCCAAGAGAATGGAGGAGGAGGGACTGTGACATGGCCATCCCCCACTTTGAGTGCCATGTGGGATGGAGCAGGTGGGATGTGGGAAGGAGGTCTACTCATAGGGTCATTACACCTCTGAGATGGAAAAGTTGAGAATGAGTCAGTTGTAAGAAAAGGTAGGGGAGCACCGCAGGTGGCGTAGGGATTATGTTGCCAGACTCCGACGTAGTTAACTGTGGTTGGACTCCCAGACCTGGCAGCTTCAAACTCATTCCCGGTACATGTGAGTGCATGCTCAAAATCCCGAGAGGAGACTGGAGAAGAGATTATCTCCTGGGGTGGGTAATTTCTCGCTTTCTGTCTCTGTCTTTCAAGTGAGCGCATACACCCTAAAGCAAAAAGACAAATTACTCTATGACAAAAATTTCTCAAAAAAAAAAAAAAAAAAAAAGGCCAGGGAGCAAGTGCGACTAAGAACTTGGATGTAATGGGAAATGCTAAAAGGCTTTTATCTGGTTCATTTTAGCTCCTTCACCACCAAACGTGGGGGAAGGGACTGCTTCAGCTTCTCCGCCTTCTCTGTCTGCGATGACCAAGGTGTAAAGGTATCAGCTGCATCGAACTTTAAACTTCACATTATCCTTCTCTTTCTTGATCTTGACAGATATGGCATCCTTTCGCCAGGCTGTTAGCAGAATGTCTTTGATTTCCTTCATTTTCCGAGGCATGGCGGGGGCATAAGGAGAGGGTGCCGATGGCACAGCCAGCCGCCAGAAGTGAAGAGGACAGGAAGGACTTAACGTGACATTCTTGATGTCCCGTGAACAATTCAAGGGGGCATCTGTGGTGGTTGAAAACATATTAAGTAGACAATTGGACAGGTGTGCAGAGCGCAGAGAGGTGCGGGGTTAACAATCTGTGTCATTTCAACCATTCTTAAGGTTTCAGCAACAAATTGGAAAGATCAACAACCACAGTTTTTAGCACCCAACCAATCTGTAGCAGTTTAATTTCCATTTGATCAGCGCGATTCTCTGAAACGGGTTATTTGTGTAACTTTACAGATAAGTAGTGCCCTGAAGCTCAAAGCAATTACTTGACTTGCTCAGTTCTCAGCTTAGTATGTCAGGATTTAAGCTTAGTTTTTTGACTACGAAGACCATAATACCACTACGTACTATTATACTTACCTTTTTTTCTTCTTCTTCTTCTTTTTTTTTTTTTTTTTTTTAGGTATTTTTTGCCATAGGCACGTGCACACACTGGAGAGAGGCAGAAAGAGGGAAAGTGAGCAATCACCCCTGGGGAGATGACCATGTCACAATCCCTTGGTCTCTATTCTCCTCTCAGGATTTTGGGCATGCACACACAAGTGTCTGGCATGATTCTGGCTATCTGTTCCAAGACTAGAACCGTGGTCAGTCATATGGGTGTCCAGTGCCTCGACCCCCACACCACCTGCTGGTCCCTACTTACCTCTATTTTATTTTATTTTTCTTAAAGAATTATTTTTGGGGGCAGGCAGGTGGTGGGGTGATGAGGGTGCTAGACTCTCACAGGGCCAACCAAAGTTCGAGTCCCAGACTCAAAGGCTTGTTTTCTCACTTTCGCTTTCTTTTTTAAAATAATTATTTTTCAATTTTACTTATTACTATTATGTTTTAATTTTACCAGAGAAAGAGAGAAGGAAAGTAAGAAGGCAAGCCACCAAGTCCAGGACTTAAACTGCAGTCAGTCATAGGGGAGTCCACTGCCTTAACCACCATGCCACCTGTTGGCCCCCTTACCTCTATTTTAAAGGGACTAGAAGGTATATAATTGACTAAACCCATGGAACTATTTTTATTTATTTATTTCATTGCTAGAGGGTGTGTGCATTTACTACAAAGAGACAGACTGGGTGAGAGAATGTCATACCTCTCAATGGGGCATGGTCGTACCACAATCCTTTCTCCTCCATTTCTCCATCCTGTTGGGATTTGGGGCATACATGCACATGCACCTGGTATGGTTTTCAAGCTGCTAGGGCCAAGACTTAAACTACAGTTAGCCGTGTGGGATCTAGCTTTCATAACCACTAGGCTAGGGGCTGGCCCCAAGCAGTTAAAAACAACCAAAAAACATCTCCTTTATATTCCTTATTCATTTCGCAAATTGGCTATTTTCCAATTCACCTTAACTTATGGTGGTAAAACAAGGAGTCCGTGAGACAACGGAGAGGTATTATGAAAGGACATGGCTTTGTGACCCATGAGGCAGAGGGAGCTGGGGATGCTGGGGGAAGTATTTGAGCAAGGGATATGAGAATTACAGAAAAAGGAGTGTCACTGATTAAAAAAAGCTATGATCTTCTATACCAGGGCGCATATATATTAGTATGGTAGTTTTTTTTTTTTTTTCCTTGAAGAGAACGTGGGGAGAAAGGAGAAGGTGTGAACTGAGCTGGGGCCAGTGTTTGAGCCATGCAGAAGATGGAGCAGAAAACCAGGGGATTATCAACAGGCCTTGGTAAATAATTAGATATGGGAAGTGAGAGAGGAAGGAGTCAAAGGTGAACATAGTTTGATCCTGTGACTAAGAGGACAATGAAACCATTAAAAAGGACAAAGGTGGAAAATGGGCTGCTGCGCTAAGCGTGCTCCACAGGACTAGGGTAAAATTCCAGGTCCCTAAAGACATAGGCAGCTGTGTTTGTGGGGTGCTTTGGTATCCGAAAGGGAGTAAAATTTCTGGTCCCCTTCTGTACTTGTGTGCCCAGTCTAGCATTCCTGGATAAATTTTTAAAAATTTTTGGTCACTTTTTCAATGAAAAGAAAGCATGTTGGAATTCTTTTTTTCTCTTCTTCTTTTTTTTTTTGAGAGGTTGTCGCTATAGGGCGCGTGCGCTCGCCAGACAGACAGAGAGAGACATTCCCAGAGGGGATGGCTACGCCACAATCCCTTCTCCTCCATTCTCCTCTAGGGATCTTGGGCACGCACGCACACATGCCCGGCGTGAGTTTAAGCCCCCAGGTCTGGGACTTGAACTACGGTCGACTACGTGGGAGTCCAGCGACATAGCCATTATGCTAACTGCTGGTTCTCAAGAGCAAAGGTATTTTTGAAGGTATGTTCTAGAGGATATGGAACATAAAGGGACTTCTTTTTTGTGGGGGGAGGGCAGGATGGGATTTCATTATAGGGCGCATGCTCTCACCAGACAGACAGAGAGACAGAGACAGAAAGCTAGAAATCACCCTACAGGGCGAATGGCCACGCTGCAATCCCTTCTCCTCCATTCTCCTCTCGGGATCTTGGGCACGCATGCACACGTGCCCGGCGTGAGTTTTAAGCCACCAGGTCCGGACACGAACCACGGTCGACTACGTGGGAGTTCAGCGACATAGCCATTACGATATCTGCTGGTCCCAAGAGGGACTTCTGTCTGTAGAATAAATCCAAACACATAACCTAGGAAAAGCGTTCAGACCCTCTTGTTTGGTTGTAACCTACCTTATCAGTACTAGCAGCGGTGACTCCTGCCACTACCAATAACAGGACTCTTTTTTTTTTTTTGGAGAGGTTTTTCGCTATAGGGCGCGTGCGCTAGCCAGACAGACAGAGAGAGACATAGAGACAGAAAGTGAGAAATCACCCCCCAGGGGGGATGGTCACGCCGCAATCCCTTCTCCTCCATTCTCCTCTCGGGATCTTGGGCATGTATGCACACGCGCCCGGCCTGAGTTTTAAGCCACCGGTCAGGGAGGTGAACTGCGGTCGACTATGTGGGAGTCCAGCGACATAGCCATTACGCTAACTGCTGGTTCCCACCAATAACAGGACTCTTGACTGCATGTGACAGAAAGCCTCTCATTAGCTTAAGCAACGGCACACATAAAATAGTTTATTGAATAGTTTAAAGCTTCTAGAAGAATCTACTCAGTTATTTCAGGGCATCAAACATGTGTCTAGGGAAAGCTGCAATCTTAACTCTTGTTTTCATGTTGCCTTCTTTCTTAGAATTCATGTGGGAAGATGGTTCTAGGCCTCCATTGTTCCAGATTTAAATCCTTCTTGGACCTGCAGCCTAAAACAGAGGATTAACTCAAATATGCTTTCCCCGGGTGTCCTGCCCAGCTATGGACTGAGAGGATAAAGGATAGTTCTTCAAAACAGTGGATGTATTTTTTTGAAATAAGATGTCTTCTATTTTTTTTAAGAGAGATTTTTGTATAGGGCACGTGCACTCACTGGAGAGACAAAGAGACAAGGAGACAGAAAGCCCCGATGTCTTCTATTTCAAATCCAAAGAACACTCATTAGAACATGGACATTAATGGGAAGTAGAGCTGCAAACTTTTCCAGTAATTCGGAACCAAAATGAGCTTTCTCACGAGGGCCAAGAGTGTAATAAGCACCCAAGGAAGCAATTTTCCCCTGCAATAAGCTGGAAGTATTTCCACGTTGTTTCTAAGAAAGAACGCGTGCAAATCAGGGTCCGGGTTTGTCTCCGGTGCTTCCACCCATCTTCCATTATACAGTCACTTGGCTTTTAGGAAAAGGCCAGGGGAAAAACTCCAAAGGAAAACGCCTTCTGCCTCCCTCCTCCAGCGGAGGGCGAGGGTCCGGTCTCCCGCCCACCCACCGAGAAGCACCCGAGCCGCGCTCCTCCCAGAGATGGGAAAGGAGGTCGCAGGCGGTCCAGACACCTTCCAGAACCTCTTCCAGCTCCAGGAAAGGAAATGAGATGAGTGCCACTAGGGCGACACAAAGTCTCACGCCAACACCTGACAAATCGAACCTGGCGCCGGCAGAGCACTCTGCTTTTGCAAGGGGGAGACGCGATCCCCCGTGTGGCCTCCGGATCTTTCATCCGGCGGGAAGTTCTTCCTCCTCGCTCCAGGCCTCCAGGGCGAGCACCAAAGCCGCCCGCACCTAACGCTAGCACTCCCCGGGCCAGCCGTACCCTCCGTCCGGCCCGCCCCGCCTCCGATGCCGGCTCCCCACCACCCCGGCCAGTGCAGAGAAGGGGCGTCGGGAGTCGCTAGGTGCCCGCGTCCCCCGCTGGGCTGGCGCTCCTAACGGGCAGGTCGCATGCGCATCGAGCCGCCGGGCAAGGGAGAGTGAGGGGAGGGGCGAGCGCGGCCGCGGAGCCCGCGGGCGCGGACGGCGCATGCGCCGGGGGAGCGCAATCTCGGCCTCGGCTTGCGGCTGCCGGTTTGAAAGAGGGAACCCCGGCGAGCGGGAGCGCGAAGGAAATCTGGCCGCCGCCGTGCGCGCGCTCCCGGTAAGGGGCGCCCCACCGGGTGGGCCCGGGCCTGGCGCCCGCCGGTTGGCTTGCCTCGGCGGCGCATGCGTGCTCCGGGTGCCGGTGGAGGAGGGGAAGGGCAGGGAGGGGGAGGAGGAGCGGGCGGCGGTA